TTTACAGAATCTTTATTACTCATTGCCATTATGCACCTCCTATTTTACTTTTCGATCCGACACATACATGTATTTGGGATTTCCCAATAGCAAAAAAAAAAAATGGACACTGCCATTTTATACATGTACATATGGAAGGCGGGGGATATCATTTAGTTAGCTCATTGCTAACAGTTACTCTAGTTTTCTTTTAGTTACCAGGTTATATATCTCAAATATAAGTGTTACCAAAGGATAATGGTAAATGATATTTTGTGTCACATTATTCAATCACATCCTCAATTGACATTTATTATGCAATTTAAAAACTATATTTGAAATGCCCTTCTATATTCTTTTTAATAATTGACTTGTCGTGTAAGTAACTCTCGATCCTATAATGACCAATAAATCTATTTTAATCCTATATACTAGTATTTTTAAATATTATATGAATAATAACTTGTAGTGAGGTTTGTATATGCATAATATGCAAAAAAATTTTAGTTTTGGTTGAATAGTATTTGAAATAATCTGATAGTTTCGCGTTTATTGGACAACCCTCGTATATTTCAATTTTTTTAATGAATGTATTTCGGCGCAAATTTGCATATAGGTAAAAAAGCAAAAAATATATTTTACAAATACAGGGTTTTTCAACGAACATGTCCCTACTTTGCGGTTTCAATATAAAGTTTGACCATATCAACGAATTTTTTTTTTAAATATTAAATCCACATAAGGAAATAAATCTATCAATACATGTATATGAAAGTTGAAGTAATTCAGAATCAATTATTTTTTTTAATTAAGTTTTTGAAGTTTGAAACATCAGCAGCAGTTTTCAGTTTAACATTATTTTTATGTGTTCTAAAAAGCCACAATATTATCAGTCACGATCCTCATTTTGTCTTTGAGGTCCTTTATAACAAATTTTTGACATTGAAAGAAATGTTTCCTATAGAAAAATGGTTTTCACATGAGTAGTTTTTTTTTTCCAAATTTTTAGGCACTAATATTGATGATTTACGAGATTTTCTGTTTGTTTTCTTAAGTTTATAAAAAAATTCATGGATCAATTTCTGAAGTAAAGAACAACTGAGCGCAAACTACTGTTTGAAAATGAAATAAAAACTTCAATGGAAAAATGAAATGAGTTTTCTTTATACATGTATTGTTTATTTCACAATGATATTGCAAGAAAATAGGCTCTAAAATACAGTTATAATTTTATAGATAATTTATTATTGTGCAAAAATACAGAAATAAAAAGTCGGGACATGTTTGTTGAAAGACTCTGTACTTTATTTCTCCTTCACACTTTGCAGCAGTCTGTTAAATTCAAACTCTCTTCACGAAATCTGATATTAAACAAAATGTAACGCAAATGCTCAAACTCCCGGTTAAAACCACAGTAAGGGCGAAAATGATAATTTTTCTGTATATAATCAGTTAATTTGATTTTCTCTCTACGTGGGTATTTTGCGCAAATTTGTTTGAACTATGAGTAGAATCAGAAATACGGATAATATTAATAGATTTACGCACGGCATAGAAATCTAAATGCAACGACAACATGGAATTTGACGTGAATATAATCTTTTCTAGTACTGTGGAGAACTTTTTTCACACTATAAGAGCTGCTAAAACAAATTAATAAAAAATGAAAAAAAAATTATAAGGCTTTTTATTTATTTATTATGGAATGCCATATACGACAGCCAACTGCTTACTACCAACTGCTGACTGCTTACTGCCAACTGTCACACATATTTGAATAAATTTTATTTTTATATTGATATTTATGTAAATTAAAAAAGAAAGGCGCGGATCTACATGACATTTTTTCCAAGAGGGTCACTCTGGTAAAAAAAATCCAACCCAGAAATTTGACAAGAAAAAAATACGTAAAGTCCTTTCTTATTGTGAAAATTTATTTCGGCTGGGGAGAGGGGATTCTTGTGCGTCAACCTTCATGAGTATGACATTTTTCAAACCAACTTGACACGAATCTCCATTTTTGGTTGGCGGGGGGGGGGTCTACGGTCCCTTTTAGTTGATTTATTTTATACATTAAATAACTTTTAGTTGGTTTATTTTGTGCATTAAATAACTTTACAAATTTAAGAAGGATTTTCCGGACCCCTCTCTTAAGATCTATGCATGTAAAACATATTTTATTTGTACTAACAAAGAAATATAAATGTTTGATCGGCGTTTTCTAAGTGGAGGGTCCAAGGTCAGTTATACCGGTAGTTCATTTAGATTATTTAACGTATGACTTTAAAAATTTTAAATACCTCCCCCCCCCCCCCCCCCAATATCTGTGTATGTCAAACATTATAACACAGATATAACTAATAGAATATAGTAGAAAACAGAAATTTATTTTTAAAACATTTTCTCTGCGAAACGACAATTTTTTTTTATATAATTATTCTTTCTTCAAAGGTTTTGTTTTCTCCGGGAGGGGGGGGGGGGGCTTCTTTAAACATTTAAAGCAGCAAATAGTTTTTTTTTA